TTGCAGCTCTCTCTGTATATTTTATGTCTCCCAAAGCGAATTGCGCCATCTACACTGCACAGTTATTGTACTGTATGTGTGTGCATCTAGGGGTGGGTTGCTCTATTTCGGTGACTTTTTCCGGGTGAACTGTGTTATTTACAGCTCGCTGTGTGCATTTTATGTCTCCCAAAGTGAATTGCGCCATCTACAGTGCATAGTTAGTGTATGTGTGTGTGCGTGCATATGATCTAGGGTCAAATGCCCAATTTCGGCAAGTTTTTTTCCCGGTGAATCGTGTTATTTACAGCTCGCTGTGTGCATTTTTGCCTCCCAAAGTGAATTGCGCCATGTACAGTGCATGGTTAGTGTATGCGTGTACATGCATATGATCTAGGGTCAAATGCCCAATTTCGGCAAGTTTTTCCCGGTGAATCGTGTTATTTACAGCTCGCTGTGTGCATTTTTGCCTCCCAAAGTGAATTGCGCCATCTACAGTGCATAGTTAGTGTATGTGTGTGTGTGTGCGTGCATATGATCTAGGGTCAACTGCCTAATTTCGGCAAGTTTTTCCCGGTGAATCGTGTTATTTACAGCTCGCTGTCCGCATTTTATGTCTCCCAAAGTGAATTGCGCCATCTACAGTGCATGGTTAGTGTATGCGTGGGTGTGTGTGCTTGCATATGATCTAGGGTCAAATGCCCAATTTCGGTGACTTTTTCCGGGTGAACTGTGGTATTTACAGCTCGCTGTGCGCATTTTATGTCTCCCAAAGTGAATTGCGCCATCTACAGTGCATGGTTAGTGTATGCGTGGGTGTGTGTGCTTGCATATGATCTAGGGTCAAATGCCCAATTTCGGTGAGTTTTTCCCGGTGAATCGTGTTATTTACAGCTCGCTGTGTGCATTTATGCCTCCCAAAGTGAATTGCGCCATCTACAGTGCATGGTTAGTGTATGTGTGTCCGTGCATACCACTGTATGTGTGTGTGTGAGCCACATTTGCTTCAAATATATGGCTGCATTGAGTTTGAAGATGGCAGCTCCACCGGCAGTAGCCTTGGTGCAATATTTGGTGAGAATCCAAAGAAAAAGAAAGCAATCGCTATTTACCAAAAATAGCGATGCTATTCGGGGTCGCGCCATCTGCCAAAAATAATGATTTTACGGCCAGGCTGCGCCATCTACCGTCGCTATTTAGCTATTTTTTTTGCGCCATCTACTTTGCCCCCGGTGTATCTATCTATCTATCTATCTCTCTCTCTCTCTCATCTATCTATCTATCTATCTATCTCTCTCTCTCTCTCATCTATCTATCTATCCATCCATCCATCCATCCATCCATCCATCCATCCATCCATCCATCCATCTATCTATCTAATCTATCTAATCTATCTAATCTATCTAATCAATCTAATCTATCTAATCTATCTAATCTATCTATTCAATCCAATCAATCAAATCAATCTAATTGATCTAATCAATCTATCTATCTATCTTTCTATCTATCTATCTATCTAATCTAAACTAATCTAATCTAATCTATCTATCTATCTATCTATCTATCTCTCTCTCTCTCTCATCTATCTACCTAACCTAATCTAATCTAATCTAATCTATCTCTCTCTCTATCTCTCTCATCTAATTACCTATCTAACTATCTATCTAACTATCTATCTATCTAACTATCTATCTATCTATCTCTCTCTCTCATCTAATTACCTATCTATCTATCTACCTATATATCTATCTATCTATCTATCTATCTATCATCTATCTCTCTCTCATCTAATTACCTATCTATCTACCTACCTACCTATCTATCTATCTATCTATCTCTCTATCTCTCTCTCTCATCCAATGACCTATCTATCTATCTATCTATCTATCTCTCTCTCTGTCTCATCTAATTACCCATCTATCTATCTACCGACCTATCTATCAATCTATCTCTCCCTCTCTCTCTCTCTATCTATCGTGTGCGCAAACATGTAGTGTTAGTGTAGTGTAGTTGTCATTGTAGTTGTAGTTGTGGTGCCAGTACTTGTTGTAGTTGTTAGTCTAATTGGTTTAGTGTAGTGTAATTAGATGTAAGGAATTTAGTGTAGTGTAATTAGCGTAGTGTAATGTAGCGTAGTATATTTGTATTTCTACTTGTAGCCGTCGTGTAGTGTAGTGTAATGGTAAGTGTAATTTTAGTTGTCTATCTGTCTATCTGTCTATCTATCTATCTATCTATCTGCACGCTTGAAAACGAAGCTATTCTACGAGACTTCCTGATTTTTTTAACTTGACAACATCAAAAACGCAGCAATTCAGCGAGACTTCCTCAATTTTTGAACTTGACAACGTCAAAAATGAAGCAATTCTGCGAGACTTCCTCATTTTTCAAAGTTAACAACATCAAAAACGAAGCAATTCTGCGAGACTTCCTTCAAAAATGGAAAGTTGAATGCAGAGCTGACGGCCTCGTGCCAATCTCTTTTGCGATTTTTCCACTCCACCTGTCTAACGTGCTGCGCATGCCACGAAAAAGTGATGCCAGGTCATACGAAGTGCTGCACCTGTCACGCAAAATCATCTCAGCAAACCTGAAGATCTGATGCTCCAAAATGCAACCCGTCTCAGGAAATCATCGCCCGGACCTCCTAGCATCTCTGATAAACATGTCTCTTCTCAGATCATCTTCAAATGTCCTATGCCCGCCATCGTTTTTGGACATGCTACAAAACCCGCACGTTTTGCTCATTTTTGCCAGGGTGCACAATCCCTTGCGCCTGCCACGCGAAAGGACATCTGAACGTCCAAAAGTTGTCCGAACATGCGGTGCGTTTAACATTTTGACTTGGAAACGCGCTTCGCGTCACAACGGCGTGCACTTTTTTCGACATCTCAACTTCCAAGAGTGGTCCGAGACCGCCAGTTTTTAACACTTTTGACTTCGAAATGTGCTTCGCGCCACAACGGCGTGCAATTTTTCATCTCTCATCTGCCCAGCGGGCTCCGCACCCACCGCTTTAGCGAGCCTACTTCTGGACCCTCCGGAGCCACAAATCATTGGAAAAACGAAGTGTTTCGCGACTTTCCTACCTTTTCACGCACCTGGATCTTCTTTCTTCTGAGACTTTCTCTTTTTTGATCTTCTTTCTTCTTCTCCTCTCTTCTCTGACTCTTCCCACCTCTGCTTTTCATATGTCCATATTGTCGGAAGTTTGACTTCTAAACTTCCTTCGAAAATAAAGTTAGCATTTAGCACAAAAATCCGTCAGTGGACTCAATCATGTGAGGAAATCAAGCTTGTCACAGGAAAGAAATTACTGTAGTGTTGATATATAATGCCTTGTTAGAGCTGAACAAGGGCAGATGAAACAAAAGGAATTTCGTAATGGGAAACCCGAGGCCGGCAAATCGCCGGATCACGACCGGACCATGACGGAATCTCGGCCGAATACATACTTGAACGACCGTATATCGCATGGAGTCCTGATTGGTCCATCGAGCGTGTTTGTCTTTGTCAATTCTATGACATCTGGAAATAAAATCCCAGAAAGGCCTTGCGCCGCGTGACTGAGTCACTGATCCAAAAAATTGCACTGTAAAATGACATATATAATGTTCATGTTTTTGGGGTTCTCGGCTTAGCCCCTTGCCATACGGACAGATCAAAGTCGAAAAAGAAAAAGAATTGCAGGTACGTCACTGGACGTCTCCAGTGATATCAGTGTCGCATGCAAGCCTCTTCGTGAGGCTGGTACTTGCATGGACAACCAGCCCCCCCTGCTACTGTGAAACATGTTCGGGAGGTATCAACTACTTCGACTAACCCTTAGAAACAGAGTTGGACACCACACGCACACACACGCGCGCACACACACACACACGCACACTACACACATGACAGGCATTACCTACATTGCATTACGTTATGTTAAGTTACGTTACTTTGCGTTACTAGTATGTTGCATGACATTGCATCGCTTTGCTTTACCTTGCATTGCACTACGTTACATTACATTGCATTACATGCATAAATAATTTAAAGCTATATTTCTTGATATTGAGACAAATCAAACATCTGCCGTGTGATTGCAATGTACTGTCTTGGTTGGGAGGAGAACGCGCAAAATGCAAAGCAAGACCACCATCACCACGACAAACCAAAACGGGTGCTTGCCATCAAAGAAACCGGCAATGACAATGAAGGAAAACGCCGACTCCCATGTTGACAATCGGAGCAATATTGACAACCAACGGTGAGGAGTGCAAACGTTGCGGCCACCCCGCTAAACAAGTGCATTGACAGAATCAAACGTGAGATTCTGGAACCACTAGCAGCAGGATCAGGATGCTATCTAATGTGATGACAATGTTGTTGTTGTTGTTGTTGATGATGATGATGATGATGATGAAAACGATTTTGATGAGCAGGAGGACAAGCCGGTATCCTCTGGTACTACTGATGACCACATATCTTTTTGTGTATGATATCTTATGACTCAAAAATGGTAAAGTGGTTCTACTTTGGTTCTACTTTACTACGTCCGTCATGAGCGCTGCCCCTGTGAACACCAGGCCTGCTGTACTGGGCGCAGGAGATGATGTCGAAGTCCTACAGATGTTCAAGGGCGAGAGACAAGGCTTGAGAGGCCCGTTACAAGTAACTATGGTAGCTAGTAACAAAAATGCTGGAGAGTAGCATTTCCCTTGGTATTCTGCCAATGCCGCCGATTTCGTGAACTGGATTGGCAATAGACACCTTTCCAAGTTGAGCCGTGGCCCTATTCCCACCCGAGGGTAATGGTTTGAATGAGAAACTGTGCTTAAACTGAATCTCCAAAAAGTCTGCATTTAACATTTATATAAGCTGCTTGCGCAGGAATGCCACTTGTCACTACCAGTATTAATATAATGCCACAGTATTTAGGTTTGGGTCTTTGATCGTGATCTGGCACCAGCTTGTACACGCTCATGTTCATGATCTACCTCACTACCCCGCATGGCTCTCACCGGCTTAGACCACATTCAAATTTTGCCTATGTAGGTAATGCAGGCACAGCCCACTACAGTCCTAAAAACAACTACAGCGAGGAAGCACGCCAGCACCAAGACTGCGTCAACATTGGGGTTGGCAACTACCTGCACGGAAGCTGACAATTTTCCCCTACCTTCGGCGCATCCTTGCTATTAAACGTTCAAACTTGAAGCATTTCAACTGTTCTGACCCCCACACAGCTAGCCAACGAACCACAAAGACCAAAGACCACTGATGCTAAAGGATGCTCTACCACCAATCACCTTCTGGACTTGTTTCGAAACATGTTGAGTCGAAAGAGCCAAATCTTTGAGCCTCATGAAGAGCGGCACTAAGTTGCAAAGGCTAAGTTGCAATAGTTACTGGTGGAGTTCTCCCACGCTGTGACGGTGCTTCTGAGTGAGCCAGTACAGCCAGTACCGATCAAATCCGATCAACAACATATCGCATCTTTAGGTTACTCTGACTTTTGTGGTACGGGATCATCTGCATTTCTGCTATCTCTCTTTAAATTTTGACCAAGGGTTGCTGCAAATTACAGGCTCGCGACATCCGGGGCCTCTTTACCCCACTTGATTCACAAAATGCCTTTCGGTTGGATACGGGTGCCATTGGATCAACAGGCTCCCCCTTCGCCACTTTGGCAAACCTCGTGTAGCACCAAATTTGGACAACCTATGGCCGAATCGACTTCCCATCTTGATACAATCTAGACAACATCGTGGAAGTCAGGCCTTTGTTCCTGTCGGCATGTTGGAACTGGTTCCGAGGGTTAGATAGCTTTCACCCTTTTGGTCGGCCCTTGGAATTTTCATCACTACCAGCACTGCCTATGCTACCGCTACAGAGTGCCCCAAAATCGCCCTCATGCAAAGCTACAGCACTAGAAGATGCAACAGGATCCCCCGCTGCTTGCATGCCCGACTGTCTCGACACACTCTGTGACTGACGCAGTCAAGACAGCACCATCGCTCACAGTTCCATCACAAGCGCTCAAGCCCGCTCGTGATGTCATACGCTGGCTTGTAGTTGCACTGCCAGAGCCCGATGGTGTCCTTTTCTTCAAAGACGTAATTCCCATAGGGCCGCTGCCCCCTTGATCGGAGCCCGACTGTCTTGACATTCTTTTAGAAGCAGACATTGTCGCACTCGCCGCTTCTTCTACTGCTGTGGTTCATCCTCGGAGATCACCACCACATCTTCGTTTTTCTCATAGCCCTTGAATCCGGCTTAAGTCGGCCAGCTCATCCTCTTCACACCACTTTCTCAGCCTCTTCAGGCAACATCTCGAAGCACCAAAACGAAGCTGTCTGGCGTAAAAGGCTTCAAAAGCCATAAGCACCGCACCTGATACCAGCATCAGAGCGAAGTCGCTCTCCTCATCCTCATTGTCCGGTGATGCTTCGGCTATCGAAAGTAGCACACTACCCAAGGCCAGGGCACGCATTGCCGCTCCACCGTCACCACCTCCAGATTCAGACGACATGTAGGTCTCACTTCTGGTTCGGCACGTCGCCCATCAGTTGATGCATAATTTCTTTTGATCCCAAAGTCCTCCAGGAACCGAAAAAAGGCTTGGCCAGATAGTGGTTTTGTGCATCCATCAGCCACCAACTCGGTGCTTTGCAAATGCAGCAGCTTCAAACAACCTCCGGGATTGATGTTGGAATCTCTCAGAGCTTCTCTCCAAACGCTAACTTTGACCCTGAGGTGCCTTGTGCGCCAGGAGGAAGTAGTCACACCATGAGCAAGGCCAATCCCCGCAGCATTGTCACCGTAGATCACTCGATCGAAGGTGTTGCTGCAGCATAACAAGGCTGCAGTTGCCTTTCCGACGACCAATAGGCGATGGGCTCTACCCCGCAGTTGAGTGTGCCAAGAGTGGCTGGGCACCACATTGCCAACCAAGCGATTGGCACTCCCGTGGAGCACACCACAAGGCCCTGAATGCTCCGATGGTCAGCAGTGGCACCGTAAGCTATATCGGAGAATATCTCCAACATCTTCGGGTGTCTCCTCGCTTTTTAATTGGCCACGATGACCCCAATCTCCACCAGGAATTGTTCTGTAGTGCACTCCACCTGGGTTTCCATGGATGTACTTCACCAGGACATACCCGATCTCGATGGCCTTGGCGGGTTTTTTCATCACCAACCGGCTCATCGCAGAAACGCCAAAAGCCAGATCTGGTCTGGTACGTGTTGAGACACAAAGCAGGGCTCCAGTCAGCACCTGTGCAATACGGATGTCATTGGGATTGACATCTCCCTCTGCTTCTTCGTCGGCTTCCGTGATTTTGAATGCCGGGTAGGGCATGGAGTCCTTGATGTTCCAACGTGTCATCAGCTCCTGCTCAAACATGCGCTGCAACACGTGTCAGCCACCACCTCGAAGCCGCGGTATCGCAAAGGGCTGTCTGATGCCCATTCCACCTTCGAAATGGCCCATGTCTTTTCAACGGCCATCATTGCAGCTTGAGCAATCTCCTTCTCAGCGGCAATCAAGATGTCATCAACATATACTGACATCAGACCCACCGAGTGCTCTTCGCCAGTGTTGATGTTGATCTCCATGAAAGGCCACAGGTTCTCATGTTTGGAGTGGACAAAACGTCCTTCCATCACAGCTTCACCAACTGACCTTGTCCAGCGTAAAGTGGGTACAACATGGTCTTGATGAAGACGCCAATCCCATGGCGATGACACCAGCCCATAGAGTGCCTTTTCAATCACCCAAACATCCTCCTCCCCAGCCAGTCCAAGACGCTTGAAGATAGTGGGCACTTCCATGGCAGCGATCTTTGTAGCATCCCGTTTTGGAGCATTCAAGAATGCTACTCTGATGTCAGTGCCTGCTAGACACCAATAATGTAGCGCCACAGTTCGGATCATGGCCCGTATTTGGCAGCCGTCAGCTCCTCCAGCACAGCGGTCTTCATTGCTGACCTCTTGGTAATTGCCGCAGACTACGGCTCGTGAGCGATATGCTCCACTGTGGGCCTTCCTGGTGAGGACCATCTTTCCAGGCAGCAACGCAATTGGTAGCTGTCGCTCTCGCGCTAGATCTTGGAACTGTGACCTTGACATCTGCCTCACGGCCTTCTTTTCATTCACCAACTGCTCGAACTCAGCTCGCACCGATGGCTCCCAGTCTTGGGTGCTCTCCCAGACTTCCTTGTTCGCCACCGTTTTTGTGACTAAGAACTCGCTTGCCATCGCTAGGTGCTCAACTTTCTCTTTCTCCTTGTCCATGATTTGCAACTCCTCCTCCACGGCTGCCTTCCTGAGCATCAGCTCAGACAAAATCGGCAGACACCAAGCTTGTTCCTGAGTGGTTCCGTCGATCTGGGCCAACTCCTCCACAACTACCTGGTGCAGGTTGTGATCTGCGTTCTCTGTGAAGATGATAGCGATGATCCTGTTTCCGACGTTCAACTTATTGTTTCATCACTTTCACTGTCCCAAGATGGTGTGGTTACTCGGCCAAGATTTTCGAACACATCAGAAACCATTTCCCAACATGGGACCTGTGTTGGCACCACAATCGATTGAGCATTACCGGCCTCGTTTTGCCACGAAGACGTCGTGCAGGATTGAGGCCAAGACCAGCTGGTGATCACGTCCTGGTCGATAAATTGCATCATCCACTGTCATCCACAGGAATTGGTTGCGGAGCCGCTGCTGCAAGCGCTGTTGCTCATTTAAAGATTGAGCCAGAAAAGCATCATACGTGGCCGCAAAGTCAGGGGTGATGATGTCGTCAGTGATGAAGTACCGGCCAGTCTCTGCGGCTTGCACGAAGTAGTTTGTTATGGTCAAGGTGCTACAGGCATCCGGTCCAAGCACCAGCACCGGTTCTCGGATGTCTGTCCACTGCTCATAGCTGTGATGCCACAATTTGCACAAAGCGCAGGCCTTTGTGCCAAAGCGCAACAAATCACCAACTGGGTATATAAAGCCAAAACTGCGAAGCTGTGCGTAGTCGTCGTTCACCCACGTGCTTTGAAATCAAGGGCCACCAGTTCAAGCTGTAGCCACCTGCAGAAAGAACTGTACGAATTGATTGTTTGACCAGACCCACTTCTGCTTCACAACGTCCATTGGCCTTATAGTTGTCGCCACTTGTCTTGGTGAGGACGGTGTCTCGATGTTGTGCCCATCGCCGCAAAGGCATAGCCATGAAGTCTCAAGCTCGATCACTGTGCAAGCGTCGTCTAAGTTGACGCAGCCGGCTGTAGATCCTGGCAATGGCAGGGAGCACATGTTGTAATGTCCGGCTTTCCACCGTTTTCACAACGGTGACACTCTTCACCATCACATCCTTGGATTCCTCCACCAACGATGCCACACTTTCAAACTGCCATTGGCAGACTCCTCAGCTAGATTCTAGATGGCCGCCATCTTCGCCTTCACCACATTCGGCTTCTTCTTGCCCTTCATGTAGTGGATCTTGCATAAGATCACCTTCCTCTCCATCGATCACTCCATCCTCCCCCAGGACAGCCTCAAGGTCTGGTAGTGGATGATCTTGAGGTTCAACACCATCGATATCAACCAAGGGTTTTCCAGCCTTTGTCACTGGAAAAGTGTACACCCCGACCAGGACGTACTTGCACTGTTTCTGCTCCTGATTGATACCTGGAGACAACTTCCCACGCAGATCAACTGAGAGTGTAATGCTTTTGGATGTTGGATGCGTCGATGTGCACGGCCTCGTGCTTGAGCACGCACACAATGCTGGCAACCTCGGTGTGATGGAATGTGATCACGAAGATAATGCAATTTCCGTGCCTCGAGAGCTGCTGAACTCAGGGTCCTGATCGCTGGTGTTTGCGATCAAGCCACTCACAGCCACAGAGACTGGTTCTTTCAGGCCTTGGGCCCACGCTGACCAAGTTCGAGAAACTTCACAACGTCAATCCACCGTTCACAGTTGGGAGCCATTCTCACGCCGTCTGACTGCTGCATTTCTGGCGGGTTGATTGCCAGGCAGGTCGGTTTTCTTTTGGGGTGTCCCATTGGATGCTGATCGAAGTGGTTTACTGCGTCAAGTTGTAGGCAGCTGCAAACTCCTGCCATTCTCGGGTGCGAAAGATGGAAAAATATCAATGTTGTTGAGCATCCGCTGGGCTTCGGTATCGTGCTGGATCTTCTGGTTGTTCCATGAAGAACTGCGTTGGAGGTGCTGTCGCGTCACGAACTTCCTCCGCCATAAGATGAGCAATGACCAGAACCTGAACATCAAGGCTGCATCTCCCAGCACCAACTCTGCGTCCGCTGGTGGCAGTGTCGGAGGACAATATGGGTGATCATCCGTCCTCAAGACCTCAAGATTCCAGGTCCATCATCCTGTTGGTAGCGATACACGTTTCGGTCATGAAGATTCGCCGGAGTGGAGCAAGTTGTGTCGCTGCAGAGCACTTCAGTGGTCGATGAGCCGCACATCGATCCCAGTAGGCTTTGATCTGGCCTGAAAACAGATGAAGCACCTTGGCCCTTCTCAATCTTCGACGCTTATGGCGATTCCAAGGCAGCTTGGAATCGAAGTTCTCCGCCTTGATCATCTCCAAATGTGGCACCACTCGCATATGACGAAGTGAGTAAGCTGCAGATTGTTGACGTAGTTTCAGCGTCGATGCCAACTCCAAATTCAAGCAGCTTCTGTCCACCTGCTCGGCATCGTTCATCTGACCATAGCCAACTTCCGTCGCTGATGGATTCAATACTCCCTCCAGCCACTCCAAACTCTTTCGCCCATCTGCCAATGATACCAAAGGGCACCAGTGCAGCACTTGTATTTGAATTTGACGACCTTCATCGTCTTGCAGTTGACATTGATTTCCAGACTAGTTCAGGGTGAAGCCCAATTCAGTCAGACCTCGCATCGGCACTATCCATGAAGCTATCGGGGTGTCCCAAGGGAATCTTACTATGCTTCATTGGCCAACTGAACAGTCGTGCGTTCGGCTTTGTTCCATTCATGCATGTCCCGTGCAGGACGCAAGCCGCGCGTAGCTCCAGAGTCGATGAGATCTAAGCCGGCCTCCAATCTATCCAGCGCACCGATTTGCATCACCTTCAACATTGGGCTTGCCGCTGGGACCCTCACAAAGTTTTCAAGAGCTGCGTGGCCCCATGAAGCAATTCTGCGGTCCTCTCATTTTGGGCCGCTTGATCACCACCTGTTCCTCCATCCCCAAGTTCTTTTGATCACCTCAGTGCTTCCTGAACCAGGGTCTCTGCTCCGGCCAACAAACATTGGCTAAAGTCCCAGATAGTGGAAGGCTGTGACTTGGCTGTTCATCCACATGCAGAGCTGCTCTGCTCAAAGCAAGACGGAACGCTGCTTGACTATTCTCCTTCTCCAAAGCTCTGAGCAATAAAGTTCCGTCAGGGAGGCTGGGACCAACTTCACGAGCACGTCCAAAGTGACGCCTCCAATTGCGTAGCGCTGAGGCCAATTCTGCCATGGTCTGCGTCTTGGGGAGCGGAGTCAACTCCTTCAAAATCAGTGACTTTTCACCTGGGCCGCCCGATACCGAATGAAAAAGCAGCGCAAAATGGCCGTGCTGGACAGTTGACGATCCGTCACCAGCACCTGCTGCATCTCAGAATTGAGCAGCAAATGGACACCTCGTTCTTCTGTGCGACCAAATAGCACCTGTCGATGAGCTCGTCAGGGATCTTCGGGTCGATTTGCACCGTGGCTTGCTTCCAATCCGCATAGTGAACTTACTTGGGCTTGACGAACAGTCAGATCCCACCGGCGACTTGCCACGCTCGACAGGTCTCTCATAACGGGACGACACAGATGGATCCAATCTCCGAATTGAAGGGGACTTGCCGAGCCAGGCAATTCAGTCAAATCAGCCTTGGAGCCGCTGATGCCCCCCCCGGATTCCCATGAGGATGGAATCGGGTCAAGTTCAATTCCTCCGCCAAAACCCCCCATCCACCATGCCGAAAGTCAAGACCAGAGCGTTGTGGAGCTTCGAGGATGATGAGACCATGCTTGGAAAGCCCGATCTTGTTGATATACATCTCCAGTTCCACCAAGCAAGTGCTCAGGACATAGGCCATGACGAGCTCCATCCATAGTGCTAGCCGCTAGCCCGAGCTTGAAGAGGAAGTTCACCGCATCCACCAAGGAAGTTCCCAGGGCATACGTTACGACGAGCTCCGTCTGAAGCGTTAGCCCGATCTTGAAGAGAAAGTTCGCCACTTCCACCAAGCGAGCGGCTTTGGTATATTATATGCCACGACGAGCTCCAGCCAAAGTGCTAGCCCGAGCTTGAAAGTGAGGTTCGCCACTTCCACTAATGCTCAGATCCTCAGCCCGATCACGTGGAGCAGATTCACTATATACCAAGCAAGTGACCTTGTGGATCTCCCGGATTTGCCCTGCTAATTTGCTCAGCCAAGGGTCTGGACGTCCCACATCAGCAGGCTCATCACCAAGTCCAGTAAATGGTGGTTGACTCAACCCCGTCTTGGAAGGCAGCTGAACCCCAAAACCACTACGTTGAAACCACCCATTCCAGTAGTCAGAGTTCTGAGAAGCATTTCCTTGTAGAATGTTAGCCAAGGTATTTTTGAGTCCTTTTCCGCTTTTTCCAGCCAGAAAGCCCTAGCTTCTCCAGGGGTAGGTTGCTGGGATTTCTCACACGCTGGCTTCCATTGACGATCCCCACATCGGACCTTTGAATCTTCATGTGAAATCTCGTAGTGGTCCAAAAAGTTGCATTCACTTTCATACGTTTGGAAAAGGCGGCACTGGTGGAAGAAAAACTGGAGGCCCTACATTAGGTTCATCATTAGGTGGCATTCCATCAGGAATGCGGGTCCCATTTGGAGTGTATCGAGATATGCTACCACCGGTGACTCCACCCCTTGGTGTGTTGCACTCCTGACCATTCTGTCCACCATTCCCACATGAACCAACGGCCCTCTTCTCTCCATCTCCAGTTGCTACCTCTACCCAAGAGGAATTCGAACCCATGCCAGAATCAGAACTGAGTTTCTGTTTGCGATACCACTCCAATTCCAGCAGTAACTTGGCATTCTGTTCCCGTAGGTGATTGGCCACTTCAATCTCTAGGTCTCTTTGAAATTCATCAACAGACTGCTTCATTCTACCATCAATAAAAACAGCGCCCATTGATTCAACCCTTTCATCACGCATCTTTCCTTCAGAGCACTTCGCCCCCAGACCCCTTTCCTGCAGGCACATGTCCTTGAAGCTTGCTCGGCGGCGTCACGAAGCATCCAATCCCTGCAGTCTGACCACCTCGTCCCTTTCCAGTGCACATGCTATCTCAAACCGGTGGCATGTCACTACCAGGGGATTGTTCATGTAAAACAGCAGGTCTAGCTATCTGCAACGCTATCTCCCTTCTAATCTTCGAGGAATAGAATGGGTTCCAAACTTCAAGTTCATGGCCACGAGGGGGTTCTGAAGCTGCCCTAGATGCCCCATCCATTGCGCTAGTGGGAGCAGTCTTTGGGCTCATAACCCTCGCGACATCCGGGGCCTATTTTCCCCACTTGATTCACAAAATGCGTTTCGGTTGGATATGGGTGCCATTGGATCAACAGGACAGGTATTGCTATTGGACAACCCCATCTGCAACTTGCCTCGTAGTGGTCTGCTAGCAACTTGCCCTTGGGGCGCCACACCGCTGTGGCCTCAACTCACAAGAACAATTGACCCAGAAAAAAGATGCGAAAACATGTTCGCTGCAACCCTGACGTTTGACCGCCCTGGAGTCGTGGAAGGGTTGCATATTTCCATATGGCTATGTCGGTAAACATGTCTGCATACGTATATAAATATACCAGTAGTACCGCACAAGGCGGTGGCGGAAGTTTCAAAAATAGGAAACCTATAGGAGAGGTTGGTTGTTGTGAATCAGGGATGGCAGAGCGAAGCCACTGATGGACTGAAAGGTGCTTGAGGTCTCCTCTTTCTCCTACCTCCCTACCTATCTACCTACTAGATCTTGATTTATTCTATCTATTCTATCGATCTATCATCTCTCTCTCTCTTCATATGTCTATTCTGTCTAGCTGTCTACCTGTTTATCTGTCTATCTATCTACTATCTGTCTATCTATCTGGTGTATCTATCTATCGTCTATCTATCTATCTATCTATCTCTCTCTTCT